AATATAACACAACGACTCACGCGCCATTAATACATACACGTAGACCTTGCTCCTGCTTTTTACGAATCAAATTCTTTCTCCACTTTCTAAACAGTTCTTTTAAAAGCTAGTCTTTTGTGAAACACGAACTAAAAGGAGTGTTGAAGTGTATAAGGTAGAAATTTGGACCCCCCCCCCCTCCACAGACCGTGACAGAGAAAATCCATACCCATCACAGACCGAGACAGAGAAACCTAGTACCCATCACTGACCGTGACAGAGGGGCTCCAAAGACCATCACAGACCATGACAGAGAAAATCCAAATTCCTTTATTCACAATATAAAAAGCTTCATCGTGTTTCACATTTTTAATCCCGCAGGGATTGCGCTGAAAGCTTTCATATTTAAAATCGACTTCTCAGGTAAACTTATGCTATTATGGCGTTCGATAGATGTTATTAAATCTTATTTTTAGTGTCAAATGTATCGAAATCGAAAGAAAAGACATTTTTTAGATCGGAAACGAAGGAGACAGCTTTTGATCATATAAAGTATTCAATGACAAGCCTCTTGCTTCTCGTTTTTAATAACATTATAAAAATAAAACTATAATAGATGCTTGCTATTCATCTTTGTGCATGACTTCAGGGGCTTTCGTTTGTTTTCTTCTGCAAATTCATAATTGATTTTTATCATAAGACTTGTACGATTCAATACAGAATAAATCGAAATGAAACAAAACAATCTTTTCTTTTTCTCAATTGAATTCAGGATAGACTCTTTTGTATTTAATTCGAATGTCAACTGGCATCATTAGTAAAAAAATGCCGAATTCTTTCGTGAGAGATATCGAGAAAGACAAAGGAAGTTATGAAGTTGTCACTGCACACTAATGTATAATATGTCCGATGTCTCGTATTTTGCGACATTGGAGTGGTGGTGAACGTGAATATACATAATTTAGCTACCACTACGCGTTTCGAATCGATACAAAGGATCTCATCAAGTGGCTTCGATCAATTCTGCATATTTGTCAATATACAAGAAATTTAGCTGCCACGACACGATTCTTTTCAGGAGATGTTCGATCTAGAAAAAGTTTATCAAAGAAAACAAAGTTTTAAAGATGAAGAATTCTATAGCTAAACAAAAATATGAAACCTATAAACTAGTCTGTTAAGATAAAAGACAATGATGGCGGGTGTGGGTAATGGTGTGGGTACGGGTTTGCGTGTGGGCGTGGGTGGGCGTGGGTGGAGATGGATAAGGGTGGGTGTGGATGGCAAATTGGCTGTGAGGTGTGGCTGTGTAGGTGCGGGTGTGAGTGCGGGTGTGTACTTCGGTTTAGGTTCAGATGTGGTTGCTGGTGGAGGTGGGTATTGTTTTCACAGCCAGCCACTGCATTCACAACCACATTCTGGCAAGTGTAAAATCGTTCGATAAGAGAGGCATTCATGATCGAGAAATAAGATCACTGTTACTAGAAGAGCAATTTTGCAACGATGAGATCACTGCAAGAATTGCGTAGAAAAATTTACGATAAACATTGAATGAGACCTCCTCTGAAACTCTACTGACACAACGACATCCAATAAATGAATTTTGTTGACAGCTGAAAAGTCTCTTCGATTATTTGATTTGAATATTAATCGAAGAAAGCCATGGAAATGTTATACGGCTACTTGCTGCAGAAAAAGGCAATTTATTTTTCATAAAACGCTCTGTCTCTTCTTTAAGAGTTGATGGTATGGCAAATAATTAGATTTCTGTAGCTAAAAGAAAGAACAGTTAGATATTTTTTTTTATTTTTCAATTAACTTACTGAATATAGATTGGAGAGAGAAAGAGAAAAACACATTGTTGTTATTATGTGCTAGAAATCAGTCATCGATTTGTAGTTTTCTCATTCAATGATAACGGTGTATTTTGTGTAAAGTGAATGCAAGAAGGCGAGCATTAGAAAAACGGAAATATATTACATTTTTGTCACTTCATGTATTCTTTATTTATTTCAGTCTTTTCGATCATCACATCTAAATCTATTTGTCGGAGTGTGGGTGTGGGTGTGGTGTGTTCGTGTGCGGGGTGTGGATGTGTGGTGTGTAGGTGATGGTAATCGAAAGATCTACACCCACACCCCACACTCAAATTTTTATAAAGAACAAATCCTTTCTTCTTATACACTTATCACTCAATACTTCGTCTTAAGAATTTCTATAAAATAAAGAAAATATCGTCGTTCACTTTTTACAAGATCATTCAACTATTAATTAACAAATCCTAAGGAGAAAAGTTTCATTTTGATTACATCCAATGGTCACTTATGTGAGTAAATTCTGTGTATTGATTACACTAGGGAAGAGGAATGAAGAAACTTCCAAACAAGCAAAAACTTTTTAACGTAACGTCCGAATGGTTTCGAATCTGTTTGGCTAACAAAAATACTTGACTTAATGAACTTTTTCCATATTAACACTCATCAAGACAAATCATGTTTCAGATAATAGTGAGTTATAAGAGTAAATCGATCAAATACGACATTGATATGTCACGTGAAAACTATTCATCGATATTTAGGCAAGATGGAGTTACAAAAAGCCGATTTTTCACTAATTGAACAACGATTAAAGTATAGATTATTTTTCTTACCTTTTCATACCAATTGACAAAGCTCAACAGAAATCTTTTCGACTCCTGGTTAAATGACAATTCTTTGAGTAAAGAACATTTGAATTGAACTGAAAGAATTTCCAGAGCAGGTACATAGTTAATAATATGTTCAAAAGAAGATCCATAAATTAAATGAATCGTCAAGTAACGTAGACTTTTAGTATAAGTACAAAATTCATTGATAATTGAATTTGAATTAACATTAGAGGATAACCATAAACATTTGTGAATATTTGCAGTAGTACTGTCATTTGATATATCAAGGTCAAGAGAAGATAATTGACCTGTAACAGAAAAAGGTTGACGTAAAAATTTTTTAAATTTTAATATGAAATTTGATTCTAGAAAAAAAGGGTTTTGTTAGAAAATCGTCTCTTAAGATTCAAAATAAAGAGTGACAGATCTTTTCGATAAATCTAATATATTTTCAAAAATTTTTAAATTTATCTTGATTTAAACGTATGATTCGTGCTATTCGTTGGGAATGATACGATCCAAATATATCTTTATCAAATGTTAGTATTAATTCATCCAATTGATATTGAATAAGTAATGATAACTTTTCAATTAATTTTTCTATTAAATAGCATTTTCTAAGAGTAAATATTTTAAGATTAACAAAGCGAACATTTTCACAATGAAATATCCACTCAGATATAATATCACACGTATTGCAATTTATTCCATCGATATCAATCGATTTTATAGAAGCTAAGACCGATGATAAATCAGATATACAGTACCCGACAAAAGTATCCTCCCCTTGGATCTCAGGCACAATATGAGCTGTAGATCTGAAAACTAGTGTGCTTATAGTTCTCAATGAATGCTGATCAGCGATATCATCGGCATCCCGATTGCATGAAGTATAAGAAAGTTATAATGTATGTTGTCTGTCTCCATTGTGAACCTCATAACTCAGGAATAGAAAAACTTTATAGATCGAGGTTGATTTCATTTTATAGCTCTGCACTTTGGGTATCTGTGATAAATATTTCACCGAAATTCAATGAGTCTTTATAGAACTAGAACCATTTTACTTTAAGTATCGACATATGGTAAAACCGACCTATTGCATTGTGTACTTCATAAATCAGTGAAAGTTTGACAGATCACCTTCAAACTTACAGAAAATATTGCTCTACAGACCCTTATTATTCTCTGAAATTTTCAAACTTATATCATTTGCTATATGAAAATAGCACTATGCTCAAGTTCTAGATGTTGTCATAGGTCGAGCTACTCGAATACTCAAGCAATTGACTTCATCTTTTGAGCATATAACTAGCATACATAGAGGCTTATTTTTATTGAAAAAAAATACAAAATTCATCAGTTATCATTAAAAGCAAGATATAAACTTTAATAGCCCATTTTTAACTCGTAATGTAAAAATTTGATCAGTTTTTAGATAATTGTCAAAAAAAAGTATTAAGATAATATCTTCTTTTTGACAGAAATTCAAACTTTATTTATACATTTATTTAAGAATTATAATGAAGCTTTGATGGCTTTATACTTCTAATAATTCGTGAAGAAAACATTTTTTTTCTTATTCTTATGAACGCAATATGATGAAACATTTTTTTTATTTAAAAAGAAAATTATGATGTTAGTACATAGTGTAATCACCACCAGCTGAAATTACGGCATCAATGCGTTTTTCCATACTCTCTATCAAGTTTTCACAAAACTCGAGTGGTAATTTTCTCCACTCTCGTTTAATCAAACGAATGAGAGCCGGAATGTTGCTGGGTTTCTTCATAGCGACTCGAATCTTGAAGATGGTCCAAAGATTTTCAATTGGATTAATATCCGGCGAACACGCTGCCCAAGGTAAACAATTAATTCCATTTTTATGTTTTCATTCTATTCGAGGGAGAAAGTCTGATGTTCGACCGTTTATTTATTTATTTCAAAAATCAAAAAATGTCCTCGCACACACATACATATATGTTTATCTGCACTCTGCACACACTCTCTCTATCCTGATCAAGAAAAAACATCTACATATATATATATATATATGAACGAGATCAAGGGTTAAACGTAAAGAGTGATCAAGGTTATATAACATCAAAGAAGAAAAAGAAAAGAAATGAAAGACATATATGTATATATTCACTGTCCAGGATTCACAACGCAAGGACAACATAGAATAAGAAAATGGCCTGAGATATATCATATCAAAAAAATAGGTAACGAGAAGAAAAGAGGAACGAAAGAAAAGAAAAAGAATATAGTACCAGGGTTATCCTCTAACACATTCCTTGCTCTCTTTTGATCTACATTTTGGATAATTATCCTCGAGCAATTAAAAAACAGGATCACGACCAAATAATTGCCGAGCTCAATGACGAAGTGCTTTTGTATAAATTTGTTCACATAAAAATTTGCTTGTTAAATTTGGTGAAAAACATACAATTTGACCAAATCCACGAGGGGCAAAACAATCCCAAACATTGACTGTTCCAGGATATTTGATTGTTCGAAAGACTTTTCGAAATTCTTTAAGTTGCCATTGACGACGTTTGACCGGGCCCAGTCGAATAGTAAATTCGTCCGAAAAACAATCTGGTCCCAGTTTTGATTTTGCATTGATAACGCCCATTTCAGATGTCGTTTCTTATGAATTGTAGTAAGAAGAGGTTTTGATAATGATGCAGAGAATTGATAACCAGCTTCTTTTAATCTTCTTTGAACCGTACGGGAACTAATTTCCACTTTTTTTCTTTTTAAACCACGAGTAATCGTTTCACTTGTTGGATTTTCATTTTCTTCTAATTCGTCCAAAATCATTTCATCTTCGGCTGCTGCTGTTGAGTGAGGTCGACCTGATTTTGTTTCATTCGATAAATCTTTTGTTTCTTTCCAGCGAGCTCGCCAATAACGGACAGTTTTCACATCACAATTGATGAAATTAGCAACTTTTTATTCCCAAGTCTCGGACCTTTTGAATGTTCAGATAGAAAAATAATTTCATATCGTTGATGCAACGGCAAATGACCTGTGGACATTTTGAAAGGTTTTTTAGTAATTATTAGAAGGCCCTTTTGCTTCTTTCTCTTAGTTCGGTTTTATTTCGAATGATCGACCCAAGATAGAGAGCATGGAGATGAGAAAAAAAGAATCAAAGAATGTAAACAAAGAGAGCGAAAATAGAATAGAGACAAGAAATGAATACCAAGGACGAACAAGGAGAAAACGAACAGCAACAGCTGAAGCGATATGAAGCTATGTGAACAACATGCCTGTAACAATTACGAAGAAAAGAAATTATGTATATGATATAAGAGCAAAAGGAAGAAAGAGAGAAAATAACTGTCAAGGAGCCTCGATTCACGTTCGTTTCGGCCGAGAGAAAGCCATGCTATTCACATGTCCTTTTCAATATTTTATCGTTCTATAGTAAATAATACGTTCACAGACTTTTTATCGTAAAATTCTGAGCGAATACCACTAATATTCTTTTAGTCGAGAATTGCAGTCAGGAAAAAAATGTTTTCTTCACGAATTATTAGAAGTATAAAGCCATCAAAGCTTCATTATAATTCTTAAATAAATGTATAAATAAAGTTTGAATTTCTGTCAAAAAGAAGATATTATCTTAATACTTTTTTTTTGACAATTATCTAAAAAATGATCAAATTTCTACATTATGAGTTAAAAATGGGCTATTAAAGTTTATGTCTTGCTTTTGATGATAACTGATGAATTTTATATTTTTTTTTCAATAAAAATATGCCTCCATGTATGCTAGTTATATGCTCAAAAGATGAAGTCAATTACTTGAGTATTCGAGTAGCTAGACCTATGACAACATCTAGAACTTGAGCATAGTGCTATTTTCATATAGTAAATGATATAAGTTTGAAAATTTCAGAGAATAATAAGGGTCTGTAGAGCAATATTTTCTGTAAGTTTGAAGGTGATCTGTCAAACTTTCACTGATTTATGAAGTACACAATGCAATAGGTCGGTTTTACCATATGTCGATACTTAAAGTAAAATGGTTCTAGTTCTATAAAGACTCATTGAATTGCGGTGAAATTTTTATCACAGATACCTAAAGTGCAGAGCTATAAAATGAAACCAACCTCGATCTATAAAGTTTTTCTATTCCTGAGTTATGAGGTTCACAATGGAGACAGACAACATACATTATAACTTTCTTATACTTCATGCAATCGAGATGCCGATGATATCGCTGATCAGCATTCATTGAGAACTATAAGCACACTAGTTTTCAGATCTACAGCTCATATTGTGCCTGAGATCCAAGGGGGGGGGGGGGGTACTTTTGTCGGGTACTGTAGATGATTTAGATAAGAATCGATTATACAGTGAATCTTGCTATGTTGAATGTTTATACGATAATTTGAAACAAAAATATCAAATTAAGTGTTGAAGCTAGATGATATATCTAGAATAAAACAGATTACTTATTGGCATCGATAAATATTAGTCGTCAAAGTGTCGCATATGGCGATACGATAAGGTCTGATCAATTATGGTCATTTTTATTAAATCACATTAAACGGTTCGAAATTTTCGATCTTGTGCCGACTCAATAAAAATTACATCATTTGACAGAGCATAAAAAGTTGAACAAAACCTACTAATTTTCTTCGAGACATACTCTCAAGTCTCCAGCAAAAGTTTTTAAAATAGATTTTTAAGCATGTTACAGTGGTGTCGCACTGATATAACTCAACATCTATTTTTGTTTTTTATTTTATTGTCTATTTCTTTCTCAGTAATATATCTAGTAATCTTCTTTGTTATCCATATCTCTTGCTTTTTTTCTCTTTTCTTTTCTCGTTCACTATAAATGTACGTGTTTTTCATCATTCTAAAATATATGATAAAAGATTCTGTACAAGTGTACACACACACACCTATACGTATAAGAAAGAGAACGAACTGTAGCATGATCCAAAGGGAAGAATGCTAACACAACACAAACAACAAGACTCTATCGTTTTCTCTCTCTCTCACTCTCATCTCGTAGGATCTCTGCTTCGTTTTGTTTTCATTATTCTGTTTGTTGTTTTTTGTTATTTTGTTTTCATTGTTCTATTTGAGATGTTTACGAATGTATCACCTAGTACATAGATTATATGTCTAACCGATAGCATAAGAAAAAAAAATCTTGTCATATTGCTCGTGATGATGATAGTATCTTGGTTGAATTCAGAAACACTTATTAATTTGAAAAAATCTTTCTGAATAAAAATAAGACACTTATACGAAATCATATTTGATTATTATTTTGAGAGAAATATATATTTGAAAACTGAATATTTGAAGCTTTATTTATCGTTCAAAAATATTTTTTGAATCTCTGATCATTTTATTTTCCTTATTGATTTGAAAAAATCCATTTCTGTTGCATTTACTTCTATTAGAATAGATCATCAACAAGCATCATGTTTGAAATGTTCAAGATCAATATTTTTTTTCATTTTCTGCTCTCAATCATCAGTATCATTGCTTGATAAAAGATCCTATCGCAAAAGAATATGCATGCCACTTCACAATCACACATGCTGGTGTAGAGAATGATGTTCTTAATCAAAAAGAATCGTTGTTCTCTTTAACAATGTTCCTATTATTTTATGTTTACAATTCGACTCATAACGTATATGATGATTTTTCTAAACTCTCAACAGTTCTAGATCCGATCAAAACAAACAGAAATTGTGTTCAAATGGATTGTCAATCCGAAAAAACAGGGCTAATTCTTTTTTGTGAGAATAAATTGCTCTAAAACTAATATTGAAAAATCATTAGACACCATTGTTATGTCTTGTATTGCACTAGCTTGATGATTCTTTTTATTCAGTCTCATTTAAATTTTCTTCGCTATTAAAGTAGTATTATTTGGTGAACATTGTGATGTTGATCAATACTCATGCAATCATCAAGAAAGTGAAATGCAAAAACGAATGAAAATTTTTTAACTTTCGCTACATTGAAATAATTATATTTTTGGAAACAAGTAACAAATGGAATTGTCTCGATCATTTTCAATCTCAAATAGGATTTTTTAAAACGCTTTTCGCCACTAAAAATTGTTGCGACGTTGTTAACTATTTTTAGTTTTACACATCTTCGATGGCTGGCATGTATACCTGTATGTGCATGGAGAAGAAATAGCAAGAATATAGCAGTTGATTATCATGCAATAAATAATGGTACCATCATCTTCAAAAGAGATCACTTAGAATTTATAAAAACAATCGAATAATTTCCACAATATTTCATAAGAAAACGGGTGACTTACTCAAAATAATTGATTAGTAAAAATGCGCACTTTGCCGAATTTCATTCATATATTAAAATCATATTAGTCTAGCTATTTGACCATTAGATGAATTCTACTCTTTCATAAATGTAAAGATTAGACCAGTTCATTACAACTACATAATAAATTATATACAGAGATACATGGATATCACATATAATCCTTTTGAAAACAATATACCATAAGAAAAAATCACCATAATTGCTCGTAAACTCAATCAAAAACATAGTACTCAAGTATTATTATGAAAATCATGAGGAATTTTTTTAATTAACAAACGAAATATTTACATTTTAGCTCTTGTGCAAGCAATGCTTTCAATCATCGTATGTATAAACATTGGTATTGAACAATACATGTGCTCTTGTCGATAGAATATCTTATCGAACACTGATACTGATGAGTGAGAGAAGAAAAGAAAAAAAATATTGATCTTGAACATTTCAATCAAAATGTTTATTGATTATCTATTTCAATAGAAGTAACAACAAAACCAATGGATTTTTTAAATGAATAAAGAAAATAAAATAACTAGAAACGCAATGCATATTTTTGAACGATAAATAAAGCCTCAAATATTCAGTTTTCAAATAAAGCCCCCCCCAAAATAGACGGCCACCCTATATTAGAAGGCCACCCTCTG